GGGGGTCGCGCCCACGCCGCTGGCCCCCAGAGGAGGAACTTGGGTTGCCGAGGGGCCCCAACAGCCCGCTTCCCGCCCCCACGAGGTCAGGGTACCTGGCTCGGAGAGAGGCTAACGGGGCCCAAGCCCCCATGCACACAAAAACGCCCCTAGAAACTTCAGCCCTTCGCCATTTTAAGTAAAAGGTCTTAATGATTTAAAACTTCAAGGGAAACATCCCCCCCGACCCTAACCCCAGGTGGGGGTGAATTCCTTATCCCTCCCTCCGCACCCACCCGGGCCCCCCGAAACCCGACCCTCCGAGTCCAGGGCTGGTGGGGAAGGGGAGGGGGCTGAGTCATCTCACCTCCTCCGGCGCTCGGTTCCTTAACTCCAGGTTAATCCTCTTCTTCATCTCCATGACCTCCTCCTGCTCTTCTGCTGCTCTCCTCCCTAGCCCTGTCCTGCCTTTCCCACTACCCTCAACCCTCAAATGGTAAAAGATTTGGAAATGAATGAAAAGAAACGCAAATATAAACGCCCACCACCACCAGATAGGTATGGGGGAGAAAGAAGAGAATAGCAAATGGAGTCCAAGGAGTTGGGACTCTAACTCGACTGCCCCCACCTCCTTGTCCACACACTCGCGCGCGCACTCACACACACGCGCGCGCACTCACACACACACACACATACACACATACACCCGCAGTTCCTTCCCCTTCAATGGCTGCTCCGAGACTGAGCCTCCATGACACGGCACCGCCAACCCCCTGGCCTACACTCCACCCACCTCCCGAATGTATTGGTTAATGCTTCAGCATCACGCTATTCTATTGGGCAGCATAAATGTCCATCAGTCTTGAGGGCGGACCTGAACCAGAAACACTGGGCCTATTGGCTACGACCAAGCGCGCAGTTAACTCCGATAGGTCCAGGAAGGTGTTCGTCCGGGAGAAATGATTTTGAATCCCAGTAGCCCCCCTCCTTTTCTTTGTGTGGTTGGCGCGCTTTCCCTAGGCGCTGAGACGTTTTCGATGCATGTTGGTTGTTTTTTTGTTTTTTTTTTTTTTTGCGGGGGCGAGGGGAGAGGTGTTTTTGTTTTATTTTGTTTTGTGTTTTGAGGTTAGAAAAAAGCACCCTTGTTACGTGCCCAAGTTGCAAGACTGGTAATACAGCACACGGCACGCACCAGCTCTTGGCCGTTTTAAAGCACAGCTCCTGCTTTGCAGCCAAGGTGCACAGCAACGTGCCCATCACATAAAAAGCATGCCTTCGTGGCACTGACTTGCCGGAGACAGGCTTCTGGTGTAGAACCAGAGCCAAGATAAAGATGGTGTTTTAACTTCTACCATGAAGGACTGGACGATTTTGAAAGCAGTTGGATGAAGTATGTAAGTTAGGCACCTTTAAACAGAATTGCCTTGGAGGATTTGTTACTGAGGTAGTTGTTGCTGTCATGAACACTAAGACCTTGGAGGAAAAACAGCGCTGGCCTAATGAAAATCAGACATCAATGCGCATGTAAATGGTACTGCAATGCCTCTCCTTTCTAATTTCCCTGTGGTTGGTTTCCATGCAAGTCTGCAGGTAAAATGTGCTTTTAAAAGTCTGTCAACGTGCGAAAGAAAAGAGCGGGACAAGAATGATTTTTAAAATTTTTGCCTTGCGAGTCTAACTTTTACTCAGTTCTTGCTTAAATTTTGTCCTTTTCATTCCCTTACACCTTTCTCGGGATAAATTCCCAAAGAAATTCCATATGATTTCCGGAAGTGGGTGAATTAGGCCAACCTCTCTCGGAGCTGAGTGTTCACTATTTTTCCACTTTCTCGGATTGGAGACGGGTTTCCCAGCGGACTCCTCACCATTCCTCCACCGCCCAGTCCTGCCTGGCTACAGAGACACACAGCTCCTCAAATAGGCTTAATTTAAAATGTAAATATTTGGTATTTAGTATGTTAACTACTTCAAAGGAAAACAAACTAATGATTGCCTTCTCCTTGCTAAGTGTTTCCTTTTGTGAAGATGAAAACACGGAGAAAGGGAAAGCTTTCGAAATAAAATAACATCTCTGGGGGGCAATTTGGAGTTGGTTAAGTTCCTTAGTTTTAATCAGGCTAAAAGGAAGCCAGGATGATATGAAAACGGAACCAAAATGGACTGAGGAACAATTCAAGGAAGAGTTGAAAAACAAGGG